GCATAAATGCAATAAGGGGAAAGTATACATTTTGGGTTATCAATCATCACTTTTACATGGCTTGAAACCGATTGAAAAAATTTCTGTTTTGGTTTCGATTTGTACACTGGTTTCCTATTTTTTTTCGGTTTCGGTTTTGGATTTAATACCGATTTACAATTTTTTCCGATTTTGTTTTTAATTTTGTTATCGGTTTCAGTTTTTAAACGGTTTATACCGGTTTCTAAAATCGGTTTCAAGACCCGGACTATTTACGTTTATTCTTAGTTTATGCATTTTTTTGAATCGCTGGATCGAGCGTCCGATCGCCTGTTGTGTAAATTAAACTTTTAAAAATGTCAAGATACAAAAATTGTTTTAAAAAAAATACCGTTTTTTAAATTATATTTTTGGTTTTTAATTATAATACAGGTATCCAATTTTTTTCGGTTTCGGTTTTGATTTTGTTCTTGGTTTCGGTTTTATAACGGTTTGTACCTGTTTCAAGCCCGGCACTATTAACTGAGAAAAAAAGTAAAATGTAAATTAGAGGGGGCTTAAAAGTTTTTGGTGGTAATGAATAAAAGGAAACTGAGAAAAAAGAGGCGCCAAAATGTGTGTACCTAGGGCTCCAAAATCGTAAATACGCCACTGAAGGTACCTATAGGTATAGTAGTTTATTTGAGCATTTATTAACAGTTTAAACTTTAAACTCGTAACTTATCTATACCTATTGTACTTAGGTAATTCTATTTTTGTACATAATAATATATTATACCAATAAATTAATGAACATATTATAAATAACATACAAATATACAATAAACAAACATTTATTTAAATCAATAAATTTGTATGATATAATATGACTTCATAGTTCATACCATATAGGTAATATTATTACATTTTTTACATAATATTTGGCATATAATTCCAAAACATTGGTTTATTTTAAGAATCTATACAATATAACATAATATAAATCGTATTATGTTGGCATGAAGATTATTGACATTTGAACAACAATTAATACACTTAAATAAAACGTAAATGTAAATCTCCATTACGATTTGCAACACGTATGAATGTCGGCCTACAAGCGAATGGTGGCGTACTCTGGTGATAAATTCTGAACTATCACTCTACGCAATTATTTTTAGTGCCATTGAAAGTAAGGCTCTAAGAAGGCACTATAAGTATATATATTATGTTCACAGATATATACTAATACATAGATATATACTAATACAATTAGATCATGTAAAATAAAATTGCCCCGTTGTTGTTTTAGTTTAAATAAGGTCAGGTCATTTTTTATTATTTTTAGGATTAGATGAAAAAGTGTTACTTATAAGTTAAACAATAAACATAGTATAATGTATAAAAGTGGTAAAAAAAGAAAAAGAAATAACCGTCTTTTAACCGTAGTATTTATAAAATGTATGCTGAGTTGAATGTACGATATAAATTATAATATTTTGATACAATAATTTTAGGTTAGTTTCAAATTTAAAATTGTGTCAAAAATAAAGGACAAATATTTTAAACAATATTCTGCATTATTAAATTATTCATGAAAAACAATTTATATTTACAATTTTGTATTATAATTTATAATAATGAGAATTAAAGGCAGTGAAATATATTTGAATATCACAGATATAGCTATTTTTTTTTCCATACTTGAACATCGCTACTGATATATCCAACAACTAAAGTATCATTTTGATAGTCAATCTAAAAATTAAATACATGTTGTAAGCATAAAAATCCTCATTATAATTCAAAGATCTACTTACTGAAGTTATTTCTGAACCGGAATTTTGTAGTTTGGTTATAACTTTTGGAGGATTTGTTGGAGTTAAAATGTAAACAACTCCTTCATTTCCCCCAGTCATAATACTACCGTAATTAGTACATTTAATGCAATTAAGCCTGTACTTTTGGACGTAATCATTTATAGGCTTTGCAAGACTCACAACCTAGAAAAATGTCACGAAGGTAATTATTTATACTTTGAACTAATACACAAAAACCTACCTGAATAACATCAAACTTCCCATGTGAACAGTCTAACCAGTACATACATTCTAGATTATCGCCAATAAATAGTATATTGTCATAGTAAGAAGCACACATTGGTAACATATTCATCTGCAGCAAAAAAGTAAAAAATATAAAAATAATAATATTAGTAATATTTTTAGAATGAGTTTTTTTTTACTTCATTAGAGAGGAGCATAGATTTGACTTGTTTATTTTTACGCAAATCATAAACAGATACAGTTTTGTCTGCACTCAGTGATATCAAATAATAATCTTCTATTAAGCATAAGTCAATAATACTAAGTGAATGAGAACGTAGTAATTCAAATAGTCGTTTTTCAGGTTCCCGAGGGTCAAATGCAATAATCTTAGGACAACATAATCCGGCAGCAATAAAATTTTCTTTGCTTGTAATTGACATCACAGATGCGTCAGTACTACACAAAAATCAATAGTATTTATAATTATATTATTCTTAAAGCAAATACAAATGTGTTTTTAAATTGAAATTACCTAAATGTGTGTATTGGTTGTGAAGAAGGCATGAAGTTGCTCGTATTCCATAATTTGACTTTTGAATCCCAAGAACCTGATAAAAAATGATCATCATCATAAATTCCTAAATCCCATACCCATCCTAAATGGCTGTCTACTTTGTGTACCACAGGGTTCCGTACTGCATCCATCGTGTTCCACAAACATATAGAACGATCACTTGATGCAGAAATACAATAATTACCATCCTGAAAATATTATTGATAAGTGATTTAAACTTTTAATAGTTTTGTTATCTTAAAGTATTTACTTTAGCCATAAGAACGGCACGAACTTCCGAAAAATGAGCTCCACTAAAAACAGTAGTAGTGGTTTTTGTCTCATATTCGCTCCAACAACTGTCTTCCAATTCTGTGTGCCAGACAAATTGCTTCCAATTAAATGTGTCTTCTGTGAAATGGAAACAAACAAGAAACACCAAAATGTATTTTCCACACCAATACACATTGACGGCCGCCTAGCCTCACCTTCATAATTCATTGCCCGCATGAAAGCTACTTCGCAATCGTTAGTAGTACGCATGCCTCTTTTCTTCCATAGGTAGTAGTTATTGATTATGTCGTAGAACTGTTTGTTGACATACATCAACGACCTAATCAGTGTGTTAGTGTCAATATGTTCACAAATCATTAGGAATATCTGAGGGGTAAAAATTTCAATTTGAGCGAATTATTGATTTACAGCGCTGAAGCGGCTCTACAATTTGTTACAGTGCAGAGCCTCTGGAAAGACCATCAGTCAAACAACTATAATAATGTAGATGTTATAGCTAAATTATTTAATTAATGCACTCATTATCTAACATCAACGTTTGTGTCGGGAATAGGAATAACGTTTAGTAGGTATGGATATACGACTAGTACAACTGTACAAGTAGACCAAGAGCGTGGCACACCATCCTCAGATGTTTCTAATGAGACACTGTTGATCTATATGATTATGAAACGTCCGTAGTCTTATACTGGAACACTTTACAACCAAAATCCTAGCACATTTCAATTCTCTCAATCACGTCCTCCCTACACATCCAGTAAAGTACCCACTTAATTCGTACAATACGTGTCAAATTCGGCCCTCGACATAAAGAAAATAGTCCCACAATGCGGACGGTTTATCCTCGTCCATGACGCGTTTACCTCGATGGGAAGCGAATCCAACGAAATCTTAGACGGCGTCCCGGCCGCAGAGGCTCCTTCTGGTGAATTCATTTGAGATCGGCGTCACGGCGGCTAATGATCCCTAAATATCTAATAGCGTCAGCCACGGAATGAAATCTCGAGTGAACGTCGTCCGACGTCCATTAACATTTATTCGGTCATCGGTCGACCGTCAAGCCAAGGTTTGTAGTCCGTGACGACTGGGAAACACTGGTCAGTGAGTACTGAGACTAGCATGACAAAATAGATCTATTTTGTCATGGAGACTAGTAGACTACTTTACATCTTTAAGACTCGATTAACTGATAACATAGAACGACAATATAGAACTTATAACACAGATTTCTATATTATATTATGTAGTATAGAAGTCTGTGACTTATAACGATGTAACATGCACTTATAATTTATAATTATGTAAAGCACCAGTGGCGTATATGGAAATAATTTTTTTGGGGGGGGGGGGGGCTGATCAACTTTTACACTTTTACACATTAAATACGTACTACCACAGATAGGTAGCTGAAAAGTGTTAATACTTATATGGTAGTGATGGTACATTTTTAAATATTTTAAATACAATTTAAGACTTTTTGAGCGACTATCATAGACCATTAAAATTATTTTTAAATTTTCTTAGCATTTCGTGGGGGGGGGGGGCAATAGCTAATAGGACTATTTAAAGAGTTAAGAACAATATTAGTTAAAAATAGCTTGTTCAATAATTGTTATTATGTAACACGGTCTTCGGGTCTTAGAAGACCGTGTTATGTAATAAATAATAGCTAACGAATTATTCAGTGCAGCACATATTTAAAATGTCAAATTATTTCCTATTTAAAAAAAAAAAATATTATGTTGGTAATGCCAACATTTCAGAATTATCGTACTCGACATTCTTATCATTTTTCGATTTTTCGATTTTGTACCCTATAATCACAATTCTGTGCTATAATAATATGATGTCCCCGCGACCCCGCGAAAACTTAATCATATTTTTGTCCATTGATAATTCCTTTATTCTTAAAAAATCATAAAAGTGCCGGCGCGTGCTTGGCGCCCACCTACTGCTGCTACTGCCTACTACCTATATAGTACAACAGTGCCGACTTAGCTTTTGAGCTTTACCACCTCACGTACGTCTGTTATTTGCATTCTGCAAATGTAATAATAATATATTAGGGCCATAAAAAGTATTTTTTTATAGGTCCACTGGTCGTCGAGCTGGTGTACAACATACGAGCTGATTGGTATTTGGGTGCAATGATATCTTTGCTGAAGAAGCGGCTGAGGGATCGAACGCTGTCGGCCGTAGATCTCTACGCCAAGACGTTGAGCGATATTGAAAATAAGTCTGATCTCAATGCGTTTGTGCACATCACACGAGACGGAGATCAGCGAGCAGCTGAAAGCCACAAACGGTTGCAGGATGGTACGTACTTACCCATATTAAATACTATGACTAGACCTATTACTAACAACCTATTAGTGTTTATAGGGTCTATGGTTATAACGTTGCTAACAATAGGCATAATTCAGTTACTGCAGGTATACTATAGAAAACGTAAGCTTTTAAATTAACCGGAAAGTGTCTGTCTAGGTACAAATCTGTTTGTATCACTCTCCAATTTTCAATTATTTACACAATAGGTTTATTGTATATTTGTAAATTCACATGTTTTCTGAAAATGTTCAAAATACATTCATTTAAACTAGATTAAAATTGAGGATAAAACTCTAGCCATTAATTAAAAAGCTGACTGATGAACGATAGTTGTGTTCGTCGATTCATGTTGGAAAAATATACCAAATACTGACCTCTATTAAAAAATTATATGGCACTAATTCCCTGTTAAATAATACTACCTATTGCACAGCTTATAGAATTACAGATTGTACGCTTGCGCTATTCTGATTACATCCTATGGTCGTAACAACTAACATCTGTTTATGTTCAGGTACACAAAGGCCTCTGGAAGGGATTCCGATTGCAGTCAAAGACAATTTCTGTACTAAAGGTGTGCCCACAACATGCGCGTCGAAAATGTTACAGAACTTTTTACCGGTTTACGACGCTACAGTGGTAGAACGTTTAAAAGCTGCTGGGGCTATAATTATCGGCAAAACTAACTTGGACGAATTTGCCATGGGGTAGGTTTAGTTTTTACAAATTCAATATTATATAAAAATTGGATTTTTCCTATCAAGTTCTGGCACCGTAGATTCAATTTTTGGCCCTACTAAAAATGTATGGCGTTCAAAACCCAACCAATGGCACATTGCAGGTGGTAGTTCTGGTGGCAGTTGTGTAGCAGTGGCTTCGGGAATGTGTGTAGCGTAAGTATTAAAAGGACAAGTGCAGTATTATGTTAAGTTCCTAATATTATGTTTTTGTAAAAATTAGTGCTTTAGGATCAGATACTGGTGGATCAATAAGAAATCCTGCTTCATATTGTGGTGTAGTTGGTTATAAACCTAGTTATGGCTTGTTATCACGCCATGGTTTGATACCTTTAGTAAATTCAATGGATGTACCTGGTATTGCGGCTAAAACTGTCGAAGATGTGGTCACCGTGCTGAGTGTGCTGATTGGACCAGATGCAAATGATTCAACGTGTGTGGACACACATTTGGATACAAATTCATTTCAAACCAATTTTTTAATAGACAAGTGTCGTATTGGCATACCCGAAGAATATAATTGTGAGGGTTTGTCCAACGAAGTTAAAGAAACATGGGATTATATTGCAAACCTCATTAATGATTCTAAAGGAATAGTAAAGAAGGTATGACTGTTAAATATTAAAATGTATTTATTAATAATTTTTAGACAAAGCTTTTAAATATCCTAATTAACTTCCATAGGTATCAATGCCTCATACCAGTGTTTCAATAGCCACATATTCAGTATTGAATGCCTGCGAAGTAGCAAGCAATATGTCACGATACACTGGACTTTTCTATGGTTATCGATCAACAGATGATCACAAATCTTTTGAATCATTAATCTCTACAAGTCGAATGGAAGCTTTAGGAGAAGTTGTAAGGTCTCGAATTTTAAGTGGAAATTTTTTCCTTTTACGAAGGTAAATTTGTTAGGAACTATTTGTACAGTCTACATGTTATTTTTGTCCAAAAAATGTATAATATGAGATACTAATATTTTTGCAGTTAATTAATGTCTTACATGCTTGTACGCATCTTATTATCATTGTTATTTATATAGTCTATTCCACTAGCGAATAATCAGTCGGTAGACCGATTCTTGTCAGTGCTGTGCATCCCCCTCCAACTACCCGGTGTTAGCGTGTTCATGTGGTTCTCGGCGCACCAATTATTGAATTATTTGTGATGCGATAAAAGTGATTATTCTCTCATGGAATAGAGTATAGTTAATAATTATTTAAAAATAATGAATAGTGAATATGTTATTACAAACAAAATTGTTTATATTTGTCTTTATAACTTCCTATTTGATTATTTAATGATACACAACATGTTAACTAAATGTTGTAATACTTGTTATTATTGGTAACTTGTATCCAGACTGTCTAGATGGAATTTACCAGTGACAATAATTTATGAGAAACATTTGCAAGTTACCAGTGCTTATACATTTGGGACACAAGTAGTATTATACTATTATTGCATGTTTTTAAGGGGTTGTGATATAATTTATTATTTGATTTCAGTAATTATGAAAAGTATTTCATGCAATCATTAAAAGTTAGACGATTGATATCAGATGATTTTAAAAACGTATGGAAATCTAACTATGACTTTTTAGTTACACCTACTACATTAAGTACCGCTCCACTACTATCTGAATTTAAGTCTTTAGATAACCGTACACAATGTGCTACACAAGATTATTGTACCCAACCAGCAAATATGACTGGTAAGTGTAGAATTATTGAATATTATTCTAGATTATAGAGTTTTATATATTGAGTATACTATGTTCAATAATAATTTAACATTCTAGGTTGTCCAGCTATTACTATACCAGTAAAATTATCAAGTAATAAGATGCCAATCAGCATACAAATAATGGCATCAAATTTTGATGACATAAGATTGTTGCAGTTTGCTAATTGGTTAGAAAAAAAATTACAATTTCCTCAAGATTATCTATAAATTTAATGTGTATTAATTATAAGTTATAAATATATAGTATTATATAAACCATGGAAATAATGGTATGTATTATGTTAACATCTTATACCTGAAAGATTTTTAAAAATATGCACTATTTCAATAATGACCATTTCAGCTGTTCTTTTGCTGACTGGAAAACCTAAAGAAAAATGTATATATTATGTTTAATATATGTTATGATAATACGATTATATATAATTAGAATACTAATTATATAATAGATAGCTTACTTGTGCAACAGTTTGTTCCCCAATTGGTATGTCATCGGTTCGTAGTGCTACTCTCTGTACAACTGCACCAGAATCGGCTTCTAATATAATACTGTAGAAAATACATTTTTTAGTGTCTAAACATACTTATGTTACTGCTACTGTCAGAGGTTAACACAATATGATACGCCGTGAACGTGTTAAAGTGGGGAGGGGGACGCAGGAGGACTCAGCCCCCTACCTCTGTCGGCAGTTAAAAAGCGCCCCCTTTCACAAATTAAGATTTTATACATTAGACATTATACATAAAATTATATATGGAACGCTTAAAACTATATGGAGACATTAGTCCCCTCTGGAATTTTTTTCCCACTTTAACCCCTGGCTACAGTAGTGACATAATTTATCCAAATTTATCACTACTGTTGCGGAACGTCAATACAGTAGAATTTTAGTGCCACCTCAGTAGTGTGTGCAGACATGTATTAATACAGGACTGTAGTGTCTGTAGTGTAAAGTTTAATATAAATTCAATCTACTCATATCAGTATATTACGTTTATAAGATATGATGCAATTTTACCCATTATCGCAAATTTCATCCAACGCCAACATGACAACATCTAAGTTATCAAGTACAACTCGTTTTTCTACATTTTTCCTTAAAATTTGACTGATTGAATCGTACATACATTGTAAGACGCTCATCAATAACAACTGAAATATAAAAATACCATGTATAAAATATGCAATTGACATGATATACTCCAGACCACTGTCTTACTTATTATTACTTACTTCGTTCTCGTGTGAACTTCCCATGACATAAAAAAACAGGTCCACATTGCTTCTGTAAAGACATGTAATTCCGTCCAGCATGATAATTTCTGCATTTGCTCTATGAGTGCGGTTGAATAGGTTTTTTTCAAATGCTTTTTGTTCTTTATTCGTTGGAAATATATTATCATCATAGTATTTGGCCAGTATGCGATTGCCATCATTGTCCAAAATAGCCATGCCCTTCACTGTGTACAATGTTGGTTCCTGGTAAATGTTAAGTTCATGAATATTGAGTTACAATAATTATTTTCCTGTTGAATAGTTAACTTACCAGTAACGAAAAATCCATTATTGGTGTATTAAATTTAAATACTTAAAATTCTCCAAAAAAATATTTTGCACTTATCGTGTGATTTAGTTAAGTGTCTTGTATAATTTCAAATATCAAATTCTATATTTTAAACATTCAATTCCATTAAATTTACCCATTTCAGTATAAAAATTATAAATTGTTTGTTATCTATATTTGGGGACGTCGCCGATTGCCACAATCACGATGCTTGATCAATATTTGATACGTGTTATCATGGAGTAACAACTACCCAATATAGAAATCTGTGCAACACCAGTGTTTTTATCCTTCATGAAACGACTGTGAACAACACGAACTTCATGAACTATATATATCTTAGTTCGTAACTTCGTGGTGAACAATATTAATTATTATTTTATCGTATAGACTCAGTGCCATAGTATTTATGGAAGGACAAAATATGGGACATTCACATTTGCACTGGGCCCACTCAAAATAGCGGCCCACCGACTACAGGTATATGAAATATTAATTTTATACCTTTTTATGATACTTTGAAAAAACAAAATAGATTTGGATTTTTCTTGGATATTTTGGTGGGTTATAAAGTATAATGAATTTTCCCTGAAAACGACAGCCTTAATCAACTTTGCCTACAACAAAATCTAATAAATTGCCGTTATTATCGTCATAATTATTACTATTCACGTTATATTGTCTTGCGTATATTTACCGTGATATACGTCAGTACTCAGTCGTATATATTGTATATCTATTCGTAATTTGTTTATTATTTTTAATAATTTAAAATGTCTAAAAAATACTTAATTGGTTCAATGAAGAGAAAATTAAAGGATAGACGAGATGAAGAAACAAAAATACTACACAGTAGCTTAGATAAATTTACGTTTAGAACTAGTTTATGTACTAGCGCACAGTAGAAATGTTTGTGAAAGCTGATTAGCTGAAATCAAATTTGACGTTAAACTTAAAAACATTTATTTCAATATTTAAGTATAATAATCAAAATTACTAATTTAACAAAAAAAATCTTTTTAATTTGTATAGGTTCTTACTTGAATAAATATTAAACATTAATTAGACTCTTTGAAAGTGTAAAGTGTTCTTGTATAACTAAACAATTTTTAAATATACACGTTTTTCAACTTACAGTTATGCAGATGGATTTCTTTAGGTTTAGGAACGTCTTCAGTTCTGGAATTGTTCTAATGAATTCAAACATAGGTACATAATATTATACTAATAAAATGTATTTAAATAAAAATTAAATTAATACGAAATAAATCTTGTTCAATATTAAATTAATTAAGTACTATTTTATTGTCTATTATGCTTTTTTATTAAATACACAATAATTTATAACTTACATTATTGGATCGGACATACAACAACAGACTATGAATACGTTTGATGAATTTTGCAAAACTTAACCCAACTTTTGACGCCAATTTGTAAACACTATAGACATTTAAAATATAAAAAAATATTGATCTACATAAATAAACAATTTATATTTTAGATGAATAATGTACAAACCTTATTTTTGTCCACATTTTTTGGCGAATGCAAGAGCTTTTTTGGATTATTGTCCTTCCTTTCTCCAAGGTTTAATCTTATAGCATCGTCGATGGTTCTATTATACGGCTATCTTATTATAGCTACGCCCACCCCATGGAGGCGATGTAGGTAATCAATTTCACCTCTAATCGCTTATCCCAATTTAAAAAAAATCTCCAACCCTGAATTCTATCTTATGATTAACGCCATACATCTTTGCGTTGTGTTTGGCCAACTTGATATTTTACGGATTATATAATACGGCCGACAGACCAGTCTTCGATAGATGACCAGCTAGCTGGGCCCCTAAGTGGAATGATGTTTCCAACAAAAAACGGATCAATTGCCACTTTCATGTCTCAGCACTGGGTTGCCATAAATACACTTAACCCCTCCGGACAAATCAAATAAAAACTCCCTAGTCCCTACGAAACGAAAGAAAACTTATAATTATATAAATATCATTTTTATTTTTTATATGATACCTATATATATATATTTAAATGTTTTTTTACATACCTTCGTCCAACCCCTTGTCCAAACCTGAAAAATAGCTAAAACGTTTCTTTCAGTATTTGAACTTGTCATTTCTAATTTTCTACATCTATATAAAATAAATTATTTAAACTAGGTTTTTTAATTATTACCTATAAATATAAATAAAAATAGGTATTAAAATACCTACACATGTAGTATGTACAATGTGCATACGTTATAACGTAACCATTACATATTCAGAATTCATGTTTTCGATAATTTCTATTTTCTTTACAAAAATATTATATTTTATTTAGATAGATTTAGATTTAAAGTTCGAATTTTTATAAAATGTATGAAATTGAAAATTGAAAAATGATTTTGTAGTTAAATGTATAAAATATTCAACTTTTATAGTTAAGGATTGAAAATTTAAAAGAAAGTTCCATGTAAATAGGTTATATATTATAAATTATTTTATTTACAATAACAGCATAAAATACACTTAGTACCTAGTTAGTATAATATCATAGGCGGCGGTGTCTAACCGTCTTCTCTCAATATCGTTTTTCTTATACAATGTTTTATGTTATTATACATTGAATTCAAATTTAACACTATCCATTACAGTGACCCACTTGCCCACAATTTTGTTAATTATTTTACTAATTAAAACTGTAAGGTAATAATATAATAAATAAGCGGCAGCATCGGTGGCGAGAAAAATGTGTTAAAATAAGTAAATGCAACAAAATAAGTGACTATTTTGTAATCGTTGTTCGATATCAGATCACCGGACTGGGATTTATCTAACTATTACTTATCACATATAAGGTACCTCTGAATTCTTATCTGACCTAACCTGCAGTATATAGTCAGTAGACAACAAATACAAGAATAAGGTACCTAGTATACCTACATAAACTGTTTCGTCGCCCTAGCGTTCTATTGAATATTATAGGTACTTTACATATTGCATAAGTACTTTTGGGTAGTTCCAGGGGTGTATTTATGGGGGTAGCTGGGTGGGCTGCAGCCCCCCCCTGAAATTTCAAGAAAATCCAAAAAATATGAATGTCAATAAAACTTTATTTGTTGGGTAAAAAAGCTTGAACAATTAATACAAGGCTCCTGCTATATTGTTACAATAGCAGTTGAAAAATATTAAAAATCCTTAGTCATAGTTTTTTTATAAGCATTTAAAGTTCGAATCTTGACAAAATACGGAAAAATCACAAAACTTAAAATTTTGCTGAATGTTTTCATTTTTTATACACCAAAAAAATTTGAAAATATTTTGCCTCTTTTTGAGCTATTTACGGACATTGACAGTTTTCATTTTTCTTGATTTTTTTTTCTATAAATATCAATAAAAAATTTTTTGTTGGGTAAAAAAGTGTGAACATTCAACGCAAGGCTCCTGATATATTGTAACAATATTAGTTGAAAAATATTAAAAATACATAGGTTCAATTTTTTCTTATAATCATTTAAAGTTCGAATTTTGACAACATTTATCAAATTTAAAATGTAATAAATATTTTGTAATTAAAAATTTATAAAATGTTCAACTTTCATAGTTAAGGATTAAAAATTTAAAACAATGGTCCACGTAAATAGGTA